CTAGTGTTTTTCAGCATTTAACTAATTCTTTGCTGGTGGAAGGGGCTGGGATTGTTTCTCCACACATAAACTGCTCCTAAGAAAGAACAAACGTAACATTAATCATTCAGTGTCTGTGTCACAAACATATTAATATTAAACTTTCATCTTGTCACAGAATCAATCCAGTTTTGAATTTTCCCATTGTTGTATCACTTCATCCTTGTTCGGAGTCAATGTCAACACCAGAATTATAAACTTAAAAGTGTATCATTTTTTAGTCCTAAATTCATATTTAATATAAAGCACCTTATCTTATAAACAAGCATGCTCACTTTCACTACAGAAGCATCCACTTCTCAGAAATCACATTTATAAAGACATTGCCACACCTTTGAAGTTACTGTATTAACTACTACTTATACTAAAACTTCTCCACTTCGACATTTGGTCATTCAAATACCCATCCTCTTCAAAGTAATTATTTCTTCCAACAAAAGGGACAGCTCTTTATGTGTTTCCCAACCAACATTATTTGCAATGTTAGCTGCTTTATAAATGAAATCCGATCTCTGATCATTTATCCTGTTTACATCAGCTACGGCAAGAAATCTCTGCCTCCCAGGTTACCCCTAATCTCCTGCAATCTGGTCACCGTAAGGATCAGCCTGTATCCTGCCCCTTTCACTCTCTTATTCCTGCCTAGCACCTGGAACCTTCCCAATGTGCTCTTTGGAATTCATGGTCCATCATTAGAACAATGCTCCATATTCTCGACCTCTTCTTTAAAATGTCCCTGCACATTCTTGCTCTAACACAGTGGTCTCAAGGTGTAGTGCTGGTGGTGGTGGTGTGTGTGTGTTGATTTTGCCTCCAGGCGACATTTGGCAATATCTGGAGACATTTTGAGTTGACACGACTGAGGGGGTGGTGCTACTGGCTAATGGGTACAGGCCAGGGATGTTACTAAACACCCTCCAATGCACAGGGCAGCTCTGTACAGCAAAGTTGTTCAGCCTAAAATATCCGTAACGCTGAGGTTGAGAAAAGGCCATCCCCTAAGGGCACTGTTTCACCTGTAACCCCTCAAGTGATGGCTCCGTGTTTTCTCAGAGCCCCAGTACCACAGAGACCGGAGGAGAAGCTGGTCGCTCCTTTCCGCTACTGCTCTCCTTCCCTCTCAAAACCCCACCAACTTTGAATCTTACGTCATGAAACTATATCATCACTACTCCTCTCTGTTGTTGTACCCGCCTTGGATCCCTCATTCTAACCCCTCTGAGATCTCTAGCATATTCATCCTACCCCCTTTACACTGCTGCTCACTCCCTTAATGTTTTCTTTACCTAGTTTAAATTCCACGGTCAATTATCAGAATTGCTCTTCTCTCACTCCTTCCTATTCACTTGGCAAATCCACAAGCTGGTTAAATCCAACTTCCTGTGTCTCCATTCACCCACGTAGCTGAATGTCTACCACCATTAGGCCCTCTCATGATCCCCACCAGTTACTGCTCCATGTCTCTCCTCCCCTTTGTAGTAAACTCCTTGAAAGTAAAGTCTACACTTGCTGCTTCCTATTCTCTCATTCTCTCCAACAAGTTTCCCATCAGTCAGGCTCTGTCTCCTTTACTCCACTGAAACTGCTCTTATAACCATCACAAATGGCCACCCTGTTAAAGCCAATGGTTAATTTCCAGTTATCTTTCTATCAGTGGCATCTGACAAGGTTGAGTACTTCCTCTACCTTTTCTCATCTGGCTTCCAGGATATGATATTGGAATATGAATCCTCCTCCTTCAGTGGTTGCTCCTTCTCCCCCAGCTTTGCTGATTCCTCACTTCCCTCCCTGACTTATTACGTTGCAGTGCCCCAAGGTTCAGTTCTTTCTTTTGTCCATCTGTACTGCATTCAGTCCTGGTGATCTCAACCAATCTCATGGCTCTAGATGCTATCTACATGCTGATAAATCTCAAATTTACAGTGCTTGCTGACCACTTTTTGAACTCCAAACTTGGATATCCAATCGGTTTCTCACCAGCTCCACTTTGATGAAAAATACACCTTTTGAATATAGTATGCCCAACTTCCACCCCTACACCTGCAGTCACCCCCATCTTAGCTGGTAGTAAATCCATCCTTCCAGTTACAAAGGCCACAAGTGTTTAAATCATCCTCGACTCCTCTCATATCCTATATCCAATCAGTAAAAAAATCCCTGTCCTTTAAAGTATATCCAGAATCCAACCATTTCTTACCACCTCTGTTGCTGCAGCCGGTCCAAGCTACTCATCCCCTCCTTTGATTAGTCTAACGGCCTCTGACCTAGTTCTCCTGCCTCTGCCCCTGTTCCTTCACAGTCTACTCTGGACACAGCAGCCAGAATCCCTCTTTTAAAACTCGAGCTGGCCCATGGCACTCCCTTGTTCAAAGATCTTCCAACGGTTCCCTATATCATTCACAGGAAAAGCCAAAGTCCTTAAAGTGGCCCACAAACATCTCTGTGATCTGCCTACTCCAGTAATTCATCTTAGACAATTCTCACCCTTATTTACTCTGCTCTGGTCACGCTGGCCTCCTTGCTGTTCCTTGATAAAACTAAGCATGTTCCTGGCCAAGGGCCCCTTCACTGAAAGTTCCTTTTGCCAGGCTGTTCTTACCCATCATATGTACAGGGCTCACTCCCTCACTCTTTCAGTCTTTGCTCTACAAGGCCTGCCATGATCACCCTGTTTAAATCTATAACATCTCCTCAAACAGCACTCCTGCTCTCCATTATCCCATTCTCTTTTTGTTCTAGAACACATTTTAATATATGAATAAGTCAGTAAACTTCTAAATTACAGTCTAAACTATCCTCTCATGAGGCTAAGTGCCTGGTCCCACCTTCTCTATACTCATTTTAGAGTTCATCCTTAAGAATGTTAAACTGTTTTATGTCAATTACATATCAAAAAGAGAAAAGAATGTTAAGTTTCTTACTTAAGACTTTATTCCAAGTACTGACCAAAAGTTGGGGTATGGATGGGCAGTAATAACATTTATTTTGTTTTCTAGTGTTAATGTCTTTGGGTGAAAAACAACAGGACAACTAAAGACTAAAATGAAATTGTAAAATTACAACTATGACTATTTCTCATACAATATATTGCTGACGTTCTATGTATAAGCCAGGTAAGAAATACTATACAACTTTTCCTTTGAAAATAAGCCTAGGAGCACTGAACAATTTTAATTACTTATTAAATAAAGTAGGAATAAAGACTGTCAATTAAATAACCTTTATAATTATTTTTCTATTTAGGAAGCAATAATTTTCATTAGATACAGAAAAGTTTTCTTATTGCCTTGCCAAGGCTAAAATGACTTAATCTGAGCTTTAAAAATTTTAATTTACGACACAGTTGTTTATTAATGGCTTTTAAAATGTTTTTAAAAACATAGCATTTACCTAACACACTGTTTAAAAAACATTCTCCTGCACTAACATATAGACAGGTTGCTATAGGTTCTTGCATTGCGACCCTTCTCCCACCTTTTAAAATGTGTTCCCTTACTTTGTCATAAATCACTTTTATAATGAGAGAGCAGCTAGGACACGTTGCCACGTCTTCCCCATTCTCCAAATCTTCCTAGAACAAAATCAAACACGTATGATCAGTATAGTCTTCCCTTTGCAATCTCCTCCTCCCAAACCCTGCCACCCCTATGGGCAAGCTCCTCTGCGACTTGCCTCCCTTTTGCGAGGGCCAAAAGGGCCTTCCGAGAGAAACGCCAAACCCCTCTTTTTTCCCCTGGAAGCGTCACTTGGGGGAAATACCAGTAAGGTTAGTCAAGGTTCAGTCGCCTCAAAACCTCTGGGAAGACAAAAACGCGTCACTTCCTCCAAGGAACGATCTCAGGAAGTGGGACCCGAAGTAGGACTCTAAGTGCGGGAGAATGGCGATAAGTCTGATGATGCTCACCCTCTACCCCCAGCCTGACTGAAGGCCTGAACGATGTGCCCACTGACAGTGTATAGAGTATCAATTTTGCAGAGATTCACAAACAAGACAAAACAATAACTATGAACCACATGGGTGACTGAATGGCGGAAGGGACGTCGTACAGCGAAAACGCGTCAGCTCTAATAAGTCGCCCGGAGGGATTCGATCTGAAGTTACCTTGGTGATGCAGAAGTTATCTCCACACGGGCAGGGGTAGAAATACGTCTCCAGGTCCTCGTCATATTGGAAGTCCTCGATCTCCACCTCGTCGTGAAACACCGCCATTGTCACTGGGGCCAGCAGAGTGCCTGTCACCCCCTCCTCCCGACACCGAGCCGGGTCGCTCTAACCCAGCAGATGCGGGCCGCAGCTGGGCGGTGTCACCATGCACCGACAGCCCGAACTAGCGCTTCCGGCGAGGAGACAATGACGCCACTGCGGGCTTGGAGGCCAAATGGGTGACCCTGTAGCGGTCACCATGGAGATGCCTGAGCGAGGGGGCGGAGACACCGGAAGACGGCGCTCACTGCCGAGTCGTCGTGCACCGCTTCGCCCATTGGACGGAAGCGACCAATAGACGTGATGACCGGTCGCGCTGCCGCTACGTCACGACGGGGACACCTGGAAGCTTCCAGGCACGACGGTGGAATTTGGCCCGGGTCTGCAGCCTCGGTATCCGTAGGGCTGGCGGCGCGGAGGCGCTTGACCGCGGCTGCTGTTGGGTGAGCTCATGTCCACCGACCTTAGGACGCCCCAACCAGACCCGGCTGAAGGCCGCCGCAGGCCTAGGTAGCAAACTTCCCGCGCTCGGCGCCCCTGGTCTTCGGCAGCGGCACGAGCAGTTCAGCTTTCTCGGTCTCCCTCCATGGCTTCCCGGTGACAGACGAAAAGCAACCTTGGAATTTCGGTTAACTGGGTGACCTTGAGCCCAGAGCGACGTCTAGCTTGTATTTCCTCGCTGCACTCATCTCTTCAGGTATATCTCCGCTTCTCCCTTACTCCCTATTATATCCAGATGCCCTAAATTGTGTTGCTGAAAGGATCAAGACCTGGAAGACTGACTGAGTTCTACTCCTATGTGTGCCAAGCATATGACATTATTTACTGCAGTGATTTGTAGTAACATTGATAACATCATCTTTTATTTAGAGAGTTTACTATGTGCGAGATGTTGCGCTAAGTATAATCTTCCATTAACCTTGGGAGTTTAGATGTTACTCCATGTTATTAATCTTCAAACTAAGATACAGAGAGTTGGGAATCTTGACCAAAATCATATAACTAGAAAATGAAGAGCCTGTGTGTTGCCAAAGCTTGGGAACAAATTCATTAACTTACATGAACCACAATTTCTTTTTCATAAAAGTAATGGCATCAGCAGGCAGAGTTATTACCACGAGGCCTATTTATATGGGAAATGAAATACAGATAAAAGGTCTTGGAAGCAGTGCTCGTGCCTGTTTTAGTACAACATGGAGATAATGCTTCATTGCTAGGCATTAATTCAAATCTTGGCAGAGAAGGAATGCAATGCAATAAAAAAAGCTCTGCTGAGAAGCAGACCTGGGCTCAGAATCTGACTATTGTGGAACTAGCTCTGAGAGCTGGATATTTACATTCTTTGGTTCTTGTTTCTGCTGACTGAAAAAGGATTGGATTAGAGATGATTGGCAAGATCCATTTCAGATCTAACATTCTACTTTTGTGTGGAAATGATGAGTTTTATTTGATTCAGCAACTGCATGTACCATATTTAGTTTATGTTAATATAATACATATACATAATACACATACACATATGTACACGTCCCTATGCTTATTTATGTACACAAATGTTTGCATGAAGTTACCAAATTTTATGCACACTGAAATGAAGTTCCACCTGGTTTAGCTCTTTTCAGGCTTGAAAACCTAAAGGCAGAGGAGTCTTTGGGAGAAGATTCAGAAGTTATGTTAAAGGAGTTTATACATTGTTTCAAAGGCTCACAGACACTCCATTTTGCATAACTGGAGATCTACCCAGCAGTTAGGAAAGATTTTTAAACTTTTTGAGGGTTAACTAGGATGATTCTGCTTTCTTTGAGCAAAGAAGGAATTCTAGCAAAGCCCACTTAGCCCAGTGACTGTTCTCTGTATACACAGATACTTCCTAGGTAGCCTCTTGGAGACAGGAGGGCAGGGGAGAATCTTCAGTGGCTATTCTGTAGTCCCAATGAGCATTTTGAGGTTGGGAACCATCTTTAGTTCTGCAATGCTTCTTAGAATAAGTACCTACAAATTAAAGATGAGCCATTTTTGAGTGTACAGAAATGGGTGCAGTCATATTTGATTTATGGAAGTATAAATTGGTAGACCTTTTAGAAAGCAGTTTGGATCTATCAAAAACAATTTTCTGAGGAATCTTAAAATCTGAGGTTAGTCCTAAAAGTTACAGGAGTTGTTGGGTAATTTTTTAAAATAATTTCTTTGTAATTTTCCAATTTTTCTTTGAGTACATATTACCTAAAATGGAAGAAGAAAAATTAATGAGACATGAATTAATAATTGACACTATGTGCCAGGCACTGTACCAGATGGTTTACATGCATTATTATATCATTAAAATCACCCAATGAGGTAATAGGTATCATGAGTACCATCTTCACCATTGGGAAATTTGAGATTTTGGGGCTAAGGAGACTTGCCTAAAGAGGCAAAGCTAGTGAGTGGCAGAAAGTTATGGTGAGAACTCAAATCCGTCTGATCCCAGAACCTAGGCTTTTCATAACTTTGATGCCATCTTGATATGATGGTGTTGAAGCAGAGCTAGATTAAACAAGTAGCCCTGAAGCTCTGCAGACTGCTGAGATTTTTGCTAGAGCTGTGCTGATTCCCTTGAGACCTAGATTTGGGTGTCCTTGGCCTTCCAGACTGTTTTCATCCTGCCATCTGTTGGCCATACCCTTGTCTGGCTAGAGGAAGTTCCCTGTATGGTTCTGTGCAGTTTGAGTTATTCTGTGCTGAATAAAATAAAAACATAGCCAAACATGTGCGTTTTTTTTTTTCTCCACCCAGTATTTTAAATAAAACATTACAGTAACTACTAAACTTTACATTTATTCCTGAAAGGTAATGGAAACATTCAGTAATGAGACATTTCGGGCCCCTGGAAGCGTGACAAAAGCAGATTTACTAGTTGCTATAGGATCATTTGAGGTCAAAAAAATTTTTTTTTTTAATCATGAAATGTTAACACTACTGATCTGGAAATTAACAGTGACTGAAATAATTAGCATAAAATCAAGTTTGGAAATAGATCATAATTATGTAATAGAAACTGTTTTATGAGTGCTGTTGTGTATCAGGCTAAGGGGAGTTGTTTATTAGCAATATCAAACCACTACCTCTTTAGATTGTTTGGTAGGGAGGCAGGGGGTTAATGTATTTGGGTTAGTTTTTTTGTAACACTCTTCTTCCTTGCCAGATACTTCCATAGATATTTATTCCTCTAAGCAATCCAATGAGGTAGTGTGGGCATTCCCATTTAAAAATGGTCAAAGATGACTGGCCTAAGATCAAAAAGCAGGAAGGAGTCAGACCTGAGCCCAGTACCACGGATTACAAGTCAAGCACTCTTGAAATAACTTGGACACTGCTAGAGTTCCTTTACCAAATGCTAAATGCCCAGAAGCCCCTTACTCCCTCAGTGGCACCGAGGATTCTAAATCAACAGATGCCATGGTATTTCTGTGAATTTACTTCATTTCAGCATTAATGCTTTTTGAGGCATTTCTGGTTTTTCTCTCACTGCTCTCTCACACTTCATCCAATCTGTCAACACGTCCTAGGGCTCTAATTCCAAGATACATTCCATGCTCATCTACTTATGTCATCTCTGTAGCTTTGTCCCACTCTAATCTTAGACTGGGGCTTTCTAACTGGACTTCCTGCTTAAACTCTTGCCCCTCTGTGATCAGTTCTTCACTTAGCAGTGTGCACGATCTTTTAATGTAGATTAATCATGTCCCTCTCCTGCTTTATTCAAACACTTTAGTTCCTTCCAGTTGCCCTTAGAATAAAGTACGTACCCTTACCATGGCCTGATGTGATCTGGCGTGTGCTGCCTGCTCGACTTCATCTCATATCACTCTCACCTAGCTCACTGCTGTCCAGTCACACTGGCTGTGGTTCTTCTAACACACCAAATATACTTATTTCTGTGATTGGGCCTCCGCCAAAATGCCGTGCCTTTAATGTTTGCTTCGCTGCCTCTTCATCATCATTCAGGTCTCAACTAAAATGTCTCTTGAGAGAGAGCTTTCCTGGTATTTCCTCACCCGCTCCATCACTTATTTCCTCTTATCACACACATTATAATCTGTAATTATCTCATTATCTGTTTACCATTATCTGTCACACGCACTGTAATAAAAGCTGCATGATGGCAAGGTCCTTGTGTCTGGTTCTTTACTCTGTCTCCACGGCCTGAAATGGTGCCTGGCACCCCATTAATTGTTAAATAAATTTTGTGTACTTATTGAACAGAAACCAGTATGGTTCATTTTAAATATCAAGTTTAATCTGTTGCTTGCAGTAATTTTTTTTTTACTGCATAAATGGATATGTTTTATTTGCCATTTATGATAGTTTTCTCTCTTAGAAATAGAGCTAATTAAGAATATTTTTGGTGAGGTAAGTAAGGCCTATGAGAATACAGACGTTTATGGAATATTCTTGTTTGTATGGTTTTAGAAAATAATATGTTACTGTTGCATAGTTAATTAAATATTTACATCAAATATATGAAACCATTTGATATATTTTAAAAGATAGGTAGTTTTGTTTTTTAAATACCTTATTGCTTTGGAAGTCACTTTGAACACATTTTTATAAAAATACCCTTTATTTACCAGTAGGTGGCACTCTCGGTCATGATTACTATTATAAAACAAGATTTTAGAATTTTAGAGAACAGCTTGTAAAAATTAACATTTCTTTGTTTTCTAGTTTGAGTGGTAGGCCATTCAAACAGCATAATCACTAAAATATATATCTTATGTGAGGACAGTTTATTTTAGCAATAGTTGTCTAAAACATTGAGCAGAACAATGTTTCATATTAAACTATATATATCAGTTAATTTTTATGAGAGAACTTGGCCTTAAATGACACTGGCTGTATCATTCCAGCTGTTGGTCTGGTTTTTCCTGAGTAGCAGGAATTAAAGGCCAAGAAAGATGAAAAGTGAAGCAGTAAGAGAAGCAATTAGGAAAGTAGAAAAAAAAAATCAGAAAAAAGAAAAGTGGAAGCATGAAGAGGAAGAATTGATGGAAAGGGGATAATTGAGAATAGACTTGAAAAAATAATGAGCTTTCCTTCTGCAGCTAAGAAATAGTAATGCTTTTTAAGTTTCCCAAAACATTTTCTTATATGTCGTCTCTGCCATTACAGGAACTTTGTGAGAATGTCAATATATGGAAACACTGTTCGTGTTCCAACTGGTGTGTATCCGAAGGTCTCAGTATAATACCAGGACCAAAATATTGCATGTCAGTCAGTCAGCCAGCCATATACTTAATGACTCCTAGGATCTCATGGGCTTCTAAAGTAAGTTTCTTTCAGTGATTAACATGCCATTTTTGGTTTAGCACATTTTGAAGGAGAGAAACTACATTTAGTAGTCTTGCATGAGGTAAAGGGGCCTTATACTTTTTTCATGTACTAGGGAAAATATCAAGTAACATGTTCATCTACAAAGATGCTACATCATACAATGGTATCTAAAGATTAGTTATGAAGCAGCGGCTTTTTGATAGGATTTAATTATAACTGAATAAATTAGATGTGACTTATATCACCACCTGATTTATTTACTTTTATTTATGTTCTATCTCTGCCTTCTAAAATATAAGCTCCCTAAGAAGGTTTTTGTTTTGTTCACGTCTGTATCTTCAGTGCCTGCCACATAATGGGCTCTTAATAAATATTTGTCAAATGAATGGCTAAATTAATGAATATGGAGTAGGAACATAAGCACACCTAGCTTGAATATTTTTCTAACACTAAGTTTATTACCATTAATTTATATAGTACCTTCAAAAGAGCTTAGAAAAAAAGAGTGTTCACATTTGTCTCCATTTATTCGCAAGCTAACTAAGGTGGGTAAGGACAGATACAGCAGTATAATGTGTTAAAAGCAGCCATCTTGGCTATAGAAATATTTGCAAATTAACTGAGGAAAGCAAAATGGTAGAAACCAAAAAAATACATTATCTGACTCCCAATCAGTGATTTTGCTGATAGGCTAGTAGCTTCTAGAATTTGAAATGTTGGGAACCTTTCTGGGTTTTTGTTTTTTAAACTTTTTATTGAAGTTTATAACGTACAAACAGAAAAGTACAAAAATCCTAAGAGGACAGCTTGATTAATTTTTTTATTAAGACAATTTTTTTAGAGCAGTTTTGGGTTCATAGCAAAATTGAAGGGAGAGTACAGAGATTTCTAATATACCCCGGCCTCACAGATGTACAGCCTCCCCTATTATCAGCATTTCCCACCAAAGTGGTACAGTTGTTAAAATTGATGAACCTACATTGACACATCATTATCACCCAAAGTCCATAGTTTACAGCTGACTCTTGGTGTTGTATGTTCTCTGGATTTGGACAAATGTTTAATGATGTGTGTCTATCATTATGGTGTCATACAGACTATTTTTACTGCCCTAAACATTCTTTGTGGTTTGATGAATTTTTACAAAATGAGAATACTCTTGTAATCGGCATTCAGATTAAAAAACAATGTTGTCAGTTCCCCAAGGGTAACTGCTAACTTGATCTTCAACTTTGTAGATTAATTTTTTCTGTTTCTGTACTTTATATGACTGGACCCATAGAATTTGCACTTTTAGAGTCTGACTACTTTCATCCTTTTATTCAATATTTGTGATATTTACCTGTGTTATGCATATAGTTGCAGTTTGTTCGTTCTCATTGCTGTAAACCTCAGACAATTTGCCCCTTGCACTTAAACAAGAAATGTTAAAACTTATGTGATGCTGTTTGGGCAGAATAAAACTATCAGGCAATTAGAAAATCTCTCCTCTTCTGTAATAACTTAAGATTAGTCATAGAGCTTGGTCAGAGATTTTGGAAACTAATAGAGAATATGAATATTTGATGGCACCAATAATTACATATGTATGTACTGTAGAGATCCGTTGAATCAGCTCTAAATAATGGCAGAAATTTTCTCAGGGTGAAGTTAGGCCCTTAATTGCTTTGTTGTTAGAAGAGTAAGAACATAAGCACACCTAGCTTGAATATTGATTGGCCCCTTCTTCACTGGCCCCTAAAATAGTCTGATATTTTTCTGATTTTTCTTAAAATATTTTAACTTTTAGTTTTATGTTTGCCCAGGAAGCACCATGGCTTGTGCTGCTGTTGTGGTCTCTGGGTTTTTACGAAGCTCTGTTGGAGCCATCTGCACCCAGGCTGCTTCGTTGAGATTGACGCCCAGTGCCTTGCGCCATCTTACTCTAGCCAGGTGAGCCACTGCCCTTGAGTGTCATTTGAGGTCGATTTTCAAAGAGACCTGACCTGCTGTTGGTTACGAGAGGCATTTCAAACTCCTGAAATCATAACATAGCATACTGCTTAAATGTGCATAACATCATTCAATTGTTAAACTACAGTTAGATGTGCAAATTTTCATTGACCATTTTCTAGGATCCATAATGTTATATTGTATTTCGGATAGTCATGATATTACAGGGGAAACTAATTTAATGATTTCTCATGAGGATAATTTTTAATAACCTAATTTTACTTTCTATTAAAGCATAATGAAATCCAAAAAGAAAACTGATCACTTGGAGAGAACTGCAAATGTCGTTCGACGGGAGGTTTGTATCTTTGGGCTGTGGCAAGTTTTCTTAGGCTGGACAGTTTGTACACAGTTTGACTGCCTTATGGAGAAGATAATAGATGAGCTTGACCTTTGAAGGACAGAGGTTATTTTTTTGTTCAGAACTTTTCTGAACAGGACATATGACAACTGATTTGAAAAGATGACAGTGAAATACTCAAATTTTTCCCTTTGAACTTGGAACGAATGGATTAATTTTTGGTGGAAGAAATATAGCAGCAATTCCGGAAACTGTCCTCACAGGTATGATGTGTAGGGATGTGTTTTAGGGATAGAACTTCTTTTAGAGCCTACATGTTATGAATAGCTTAGCTTTTCTTTCCTTCTTCATTCGTTCCTTCTTCCTTTCTTTTTCTTTCTTTTTTTTTTTTTTTTGACATTATGTCTCAAGGTCCTTATTCTTATCCCTACTTTAGTACAACTTCTATTTCATCAAGGGAGAAAGTACTAACATCTGAGAAAGGAAGGTGGACGAGCTCTTGGTACTGTTCCCATGAGCAGACTTTTATCCACCATATTCAGACTATAGAAGGTTAATCCACCGTCTGAAGGGGTGCCAAGGGCTGGGGAATAAGGATCCTCACCCTTTAACTCAGTGAATAACCACATTTTCTTTTACAGACATAAATTGGAACTTTGTTTTGCTTTTTGAGTGATTCTTCACATATTTAGATATATTGAGTTTAGTGTTAGAAGTTAAAAAAATTTCACATAAAGAATGATTTATACACTTCTGTAACATGGTTAGACATTGTATTGTCACAGTAGCTTAACTTTAATAATAGCAGGACACTTTTATGTTCAAGAGTATTGTTTAGGCCCCACTTTTCAAGCTAATACTATTTTCAGAAAATTGCTTTGGCACTAAGGGTGGTATGTTTGTGGATTCAGCTCTAAGCCAATGTTTTGTGAGGTCCATGTAAAATTAGTTCTGCATAACATTTATGGATGTGTGGGAAAATATACTTTTCTCACCAATGATAAATCCAAAAATACTTTTTTGGGGTGTTTGTTCAACACACAAAAATGCTGACTCTGTAAATGTGAGATCTGTTAGAATTTCTTTTTTGAAAAGTGAAACCTTACCAGTTTTGAAGAAAAAGAGGTTTAACAGTCGTAGACTGTACTCTTTTCTATTATATTTTGAGGCACGTAGAACTGGTGCAGAATTTGGCAGACTTTCTGTAAAGGGCTAGATAGTATTTTAGACTCCATGAGCCATGCTATCTATCTTAGCTCTAACTACAAAACTCTGCCTTTATAGTGTGAAAATAGCCATAGATAACACATAGACAAATCATTGTGGCTGGGTTCCAATAATATGTTCTTTACCAAAACATGCAGATTTGGTCCGTGGATCATAGTTTGCCAATCCCTGAATTAGCCATTTCTGAATTTTATAGGACAAAATTATTGAGACTTTTTGGGGTGGTTATTTTGAGCCATGTTTAAGAAAACTACACAGAAAGTTAATGTGAACTCTAATGGTGTGACTGAAAAGCTGAGGATTTTAATTCCCAGAAGTCAGAAAATTACAGGGCTAATTCCAACTATGCTCTTACCTTGGTGGAAGAATTTTCCAGTTGCAACTCTTATCTTTTTCGTCTGTTTCTAATTTCCACTCCTTTCCCAAAGAGAAAAAGAGCTGGGAGCTGGGAGGAGCTGGATAAAGCTAGATGATGTCTGGGGTCACTACCTGAGTGGTATAAAGTCATCGAAGCTCACCTCAGTCCTTCCACTGGACAGCTCCTAACCATAGAGCAGAAGCTCAACTTTGGACTTGCTGAAATGAATAGCACTTCAGATTGGGACGTAACAGAACTGGCTCACCTCATGGTCTTGTCTGTATTGCAGACATACTTTACAAAACTCTCCACCTGCTACTTGCTCTTCAGTTCAAATCTGAAGTAGCCTAGGGATAAGATTGCATCTGCATCTTGCAAAAGACGAAGTAGAGCCTAGGAGCTATCTAGTGGCTTCTCCCAGGGCCAGAGGGAAGCTCCAGCCCAGGTCTATGCTTCTTAGACCAAAGGACCCTGCTGCCCCTTCCAGAGTGGGTAGAGAACGGAGTACTCATCCACCCAGAAATGTCCTTTCCTTATAAGACACTGGGTTTCCTTTAGAGAACTTACTGAATGACTATGATATAATGTTAATGCTTCTTACTTGGGGCTGTAAATAAATGTAACCAATTTGGGATCATGCTGATGCAGGAAACTGAGCTCTGAATTGAATGACATTGGACTGTGTTGCGTTCACATTTTTTTCTTAGGGATCAAAGAATAAGCAGTCTGGGTAACAGAAATGTCAAGTAGGTAAGAGTAGAAATATTGTAGTGCAGTAAGATTGTTCAGGTAAAACTAAGATTTCATTGGAGGAGTCACTGTGTGCTTGGTCCCTGTAGAGAGCTGACCCACCAAGCAAGATGTACTCTAGTCATCAATTTGATGGGAGAGTTTGGTAATGAAAGAATATTTTAAATTACTAATTCTTATGTAATAATTTGAAAATATGCCAGGTTCTGGGGTTACAGCATTGAAAATGATAAATAAGATCCCTGACCTTAGATTCTAGTGGAACTCTGATCAGAAGGAACTGGTTTTGTGCATTTAACTGACTTTGGAAAAACCACTAATGCTTTTTCAATTGTACTAGTTTGCTACTTCTAGAAGTCTGTGCTTACAGATGCCTCATGTGTATTGTTACCTTTTTCTTTACAGAGCACTTGATGATATAGTAAGTTGTTACTTGATTCTCACAACCACCCTGGGAGAGAAGTACAGGGGTCCTTATTCCCATTTCACAGACGAGGAAGTTAAGACTTTGGAGATTTAGACAGGGTAGTTCTGCTTCCTGACTTCCCTGGCTTATGCCCCTTGTCCTGGTGGAATTATCAATAGCACCCCCTTTCCTTTTCATAAATGCCATGTTTTGGATAATAAATTACATTTTCAGCCTAAGTTTGAAAGACTTGTTCAAGTAAGTGGAGGATTCAGTCTTTGAACTCAGATCTTTGACATCAAGTTGGTTTTTCTACTACAAAAAAAAAAAAAATGTGACACTTGACTTAGATAAAGTTTAACTGAGCAACACAGTGGAAGATAAATTTCACACATCCTCTTCATTGTTCCAAATCAAAACTTCACTTAGATGTTACTGGGCGGAAGAAAGGAAGCAGTTATGCTGGCACAGTAGTTAGCTAACAAATCAAATGGCTGGGCTCCTGGGACAGGGACCTTTGGCAATCCTGTGGATCCCAGTGCTGATTATTAAGGACTGATTATCTGCTGGACTCGTGGTTTTGCTGAGGCCTAGGTTTGAGTGAGATGGGCTGCTCGGCTGGAGAGCTGGCCCATATCCTGAGTTTAACGTTTACTATTTGTCATCACCTACACATTTTGGGAAGAGTGTATGCTGGAGTGGCCATCTTCATCTTGGTGGGAGAGGAGAGCATCTCTCTAATATAGAACATTTCCCAGTAGTTGGACACCTAATTTGCTTTGATTGTCAGAATCTGTTGGTTGGAGAATCTGGGACAAGTAGTGCTTGGCTTTCCAGTTTCGTGGCACTGTCAACTCTGGCTGAGCAGAGAGAGCTAGGGAGAAACCTCAGGCACCCACCACCTAGAGGTAACCGTGAGCATGTAGAGGGCCTGGGCCGCAGTTTCTTGGAGAAATTTCCAGGGAAGTTCAGTCTGATGGCTCTGGCAGCTGGCCTCGGGGTCCCCAGGGTACACAGCTCACCCTGCAAAGAGGGAGTCCCCTGGAGGAAGATCCAGCTTAACAGTGCTGTAGCCACAGTGTCTAGCACAGTGTCAGCATGCCGTAGGCATTCAGTATGTTTCCTTGAGCAGCATCAACAAGTGTTAATCTCACCTCTGTGGCTGGTTACCTGTACTACCTCTGGTGAGTCACTTTGTAAAGTAGCAGCAGTGACAATCAGGTGATGATGTGAGTGTACTCTATGGTTCTGTATAGATATGAGCTGTGAAAAATGAGGACCTGCCTCTACTTTTGCTTAACTATGTCCAGAACTTAACTTGTTCATGTCTAAAGTGTATAGTGTTAGTGCTTTTCAATAAATTAAGTAATCTAAGAGGCAAGGCTTTTTTCCATTTTACCTCCAGGAATCTAATCAAATGAAATGGATTTTATTTTAATATCAGCAGACATGTGTTGAGTGCCTGCTGTGTGCCTAGCCCTGTCATAGGTGCAGGGGACACAGCAGTGCATGAGGCAGGTAAAGTCCCTGCTGTACATGGAACTTATTACGGTACAGATAAGCCAGAGACTGTCACATGTGATATATGCTACGAAGGAAATAAAACAGGGTAATGGCTGGGGACAAGGGTGCTATTGTAAATGGCTGTGTAACATTTGAGCTGAGACTTGAATAAGAAAAAGAGCCAGCCAGGTGCACAGCATTCCTGGCAGAGGGACTGGCAAGAGCCACGGCTTTGAGGCAGGAAGGAGCTTGGCATGTTCAGAGGAAGGTGGTCGGATGAGAGGTAGGCAGGGCCCAGCTTGTATAAACTGTTGTGGGCTTGGATTAGGAGTTGGATGGTTTTATGCAGGGAAATGACATATGATATACATTTTAAATTGGTCATCTATTTGCTTGGGAAAGCACTGTTTTTTTGTTGTTGTACTTTGACACCAGATTGGAGGCTACTGACTTAGTCCTAGAAGAGGTGATGGTGGCTTAGAGTAGGATGGTAGTGGTGGGGATGAAGAGCATTGGGTGGATCTGGGACAGAGGTAGGGCTAATGGGGTTCACAGATTGAGGGTGCAGGTGCAATTAATGAGAGGAGAGGAAACATATTTCTAGCTTTGGGATTTGAATAATCTGGGTAGATGATGATGGTGACATATATTTGCTAATGTGGAGCAGAATAAGTTTGGAGAAGGGGAAATAACTCAATTTTGGAATAATCTGGGATGGGAGGTGGGAAGTAGATGGAGTTACAGATGAAACAA